GGGGGGGGTGAAGGGGGAGGCGGCAGGAAGAACGTCAACGCACAACAGCACTATAGCATAGTTAATTCGATATTACATTAGAATAAAATTGATAACTTCCCGTTCATGTCTACAGTTCTGTCAGACGTTTAAACAAGCTCGTTGTTTTTGAAAGGATTAAGTTTACCAATCAATGAGGAGAGTTTGACAATCTGATGAGAACAACAAAAATGTAACCATACAACAAAGTATTCCGCTTAGACAATAATGAATCGGTCGGACTGAATGATTACAATGAGCTGATATTTGACTCGGTGTTCTCATCTGGTTCTGTGACACGGTTTTTTATGACCGAAAGTCAACAAAGATGGGCACCAATTACAAACTATTGCACATAGCGAATTAGCGAAACAGTTCACTCGAACCTGAAAAGTGAGTCTAAATCTCGTATAGATAGTATATGCGAATGTGTTCATATTATTAAACCACAGCACGAGCAATTGTTCTTCCTTCATCAATGTCTACGTAATAATACTTAAAGAAATGGCATGAAATGCAAATTATCGAATCAGATGTGAATGATTGCAAAACTCGTATTGCAAGCGATAGCATCGTGAAAATATCAATGACGCTGATTGCGGAAAAAACAGTCTACGAAAACAATTGCAATCACTTCAAAACAGAAGCATCAGGAATGCTCGATGATGATTAGATGGAACGAGTCGGAAAAGTTTTCCAAACAACGTCAAGTACTTGCCGATCCAAAGCAAGAGAACAACCTAACAAGAAATTTCTGTCAATGAACCCGACGAGACATGAATACGCCAAATTAATCCACAATTTCTCAACATATCAATTTGCACCAAGGGAAACATCAACTTTGCTGAAAGAACCAAAATTCAACTGCGCCAACTCAAGACCAACTGCTTTCATCGCCTCAGTTGAGGCCTGAATTCGACAGTGCCCACGGACTGAAGAAAACCGACAACAGCTAAGGACAAAAATCTGTCAGTCACTCCCACGTCCGAGAGACACATATCATCTATGTACCGCCGGTTGAGATCAAAGCAATAAAAGCAATACGAAAAACTCAAGAAATCATCAATCTACCCAGGAATAGGGAGGGATAATGCGACTGCGATACTAGACAAACGGAGTACTAAGAAAAACTGGTCAGACACATCAGTTGTTCGGAGACATATCAATCAGTTATAGAAAACCATATAAAGAACCTACGTAACCGGTTGACTAGAAAGCTCACAGAACTCAAGAAAAACAACTAACTCAGTGATAAACAATACGAAGTTATCAAACCTATTCCATCCCGCGGATCCACGAACTATCAAAGGTGCACAAAACCGGCGTAACACTACATCCAATAATTTCTTCAACCAACGGCTACCAACTCCCAGCTGGCTAAGTATCTTTTGCTATTTATTAAGCCCATCTATTCCAGAAGATAACAACATAAAAACTCGGTTACATTCCTGGATCAAATAGAAGAATCAAACCTGAAACCGAAAGAAAAAAGGTTTCCTTTGATGTCACATATCTGGTCACAAACATACCGACGCAACTAGCTCTAGAGAGCATACAGAATCTGATAAAAAATGATCTTCGTCTTCCAGAAAGAACACAACTCTTACTGAATGAAATCACGGAGCTGCTTAAACTCTGCATGGAAACATTTCTACGATTTGACGGGAGGATACATCGACAAGTGAAAGGGGTCACCAATCTCCGGTATAATAGCCGACGCAGTGATGAAACCATCTGAAACCAAAGCATTTAAGGAATACCGTCCTCGTCTTTGGATCGTATATGTGGACGATACCTTTCTGTTGCTACCAACAGTAAGTATCGAACAGTTCCATAATGATCTGAAGAAGATTATGCCGGGGATAGCATTTAACCGCGAGGGAAAAATCATATGAAGCTCCCCTTCTTGGATGTCCTCATCATACGAAAACCAGACGGAAACACAGAAACCGTTGTGTACAGGAAACGGATAACAACTGATCAGGTGCCGAACTACGACAGTAATCGTCCCAGATTTCACCTAAGAAGCTGAGTATGCACTATGTTCTGTCTTGTGGACATTCGTTGCCGTTTATAGGAACTCTGGGATCAAGAAAAAAATGCATCTGTCCCATCAGTTCCGTACACATAGATACCGCAAAAGCTTCATCCAACGATGTCTTGGGTGAAAAAGAAAACCAACGAATCAGGGGAGAAAACGACGCTCTTACCACCGTGTACATACGTGGGATATCAGAAGCCGTGCACTCGCCTACACGAACAAACCCTTGCACTATGACGTGTTGACACGAAGTCACACCTCTGGAACCACCGCGCAACGACAAGTCACGAGGTCGGAATCAATGGCGTAAAAATAGTGGCAAGGGTAAGGCGGAAGGAAGAAGGTCTTATCCGTGAACTGTTACAATCGAAAAACTCATTCAATCCACAAGAGTGTACAATCAATGCGGAACGCGGAATTGATGAACAAAAACGGTACGGGACACAAATCACAGCGCGAGGCACTAGCAGACCCAATTCATTCACACGTATTATCGTTTGACAACCAGTCCTAGTCTGGATTGTAACATTATTCCACACTCGTCCTTCTCCTTCTCACATAACACATGTGTATAAACTTCTATCACGTGAGCCTTAAAAACGTGTGATACCAACGAACGAATTACGGGGATAGAGGAAGCGGATACAGTTGAAGAGTAAACGGGAGTAAACGGGATTTTTCTTATATTCTTCCCTTTCTCTTTCCTCTCCTCCTTGTTACACCTCAGGCATAGGCTTGTTTCTTGTACAAACTGTAAACACAAATCAGCATGTACGAAGTTACTCAAACAATCAAACTATGGTAGTTCACATAAGAAATTGGTACTTTATGAATTATCCTGTAAGGAACTTGCTTCATTCGCATCCACACCGATACAAACATGTACTCATCGGTCAGACTTCGCATGTTAGGAAAGAGATTGAAGTCATTGAAACGGATGCCAAATTTATTGTTTCTTTTCTATCCTGAATAGTTCGGTTTTGTGACGATAGATCAGACTATCTAGTCAAGTCAAATCAAGTCAAGTCAAGAGTGCACTTGATTCATCCAATGTGGACAGGATTTTCAGTGAGAAAAAATGCAAAGCAAAATTTGCTCTGGTATACATACTATTAAAAATGAATTTCAAGATATGGCAAATAGCATATATGTGATAATAAGGAGGAAACAAGAACTCGTAGCAAATGTAAACAATTGCAGAATGAAAATTCACATGAGACTGTGTACACGTTCGTTTGATGTTCATTCCCTGGAACCCAACAGACGTAAAAGGTAAGGTACAATGGAATTGAGTGTATAAAGGTTTAAATTTATTGCGCATCACAGAAGTTGAAATGGAGCGAGAGAAGGTTGAGTGTAAAGGATATGATGCATTGGACAAGAGAGAGTCACACAGACGACTACATACCTTAAAGTATTGGTTGACAATTGAGTCATTCAGCACCTCTTAAGACACAGCTCCATACTAAAACCCTGTGATTTGTTGTTAATTGACTGAAGTGAAACTTTTCTTCAAAGACATCATTATTTTCCACTTTCTTAATTCCACCACCATTGAAGAACCATTCGAATAATTGCGGATAAAACGTGATAAATTCGGTGGCGACCAGAATCACATCGTTTGGCACAACACTATATTGTTTGGAGTGTAGAATACGGTAGAAAAACAAGGCCATAAGTGCTTAATTGAAAAGTGATATCATTCGTGAAAGGAAAAAAACATAGGACGATTATGTTTTCAACAGGCAATGAGGTTTGGTCAAGCTATGAATAAAGAAATGGCTCACTAGTAAAAAAAAGATTCATGAACCGCTCGAGTACTACCGTTCGATGTGATTATGTGCATCAATCTGTGCTTAATTCTATCAGTTCATTAGTTGTCCAACTGTACGACAATTGCGCGAAAAACATTGTCTCAGTTTTATCAGTAATTTTCCCGCTTGGTATCAGCCAGGCTGTCCGTTATCTAGATCCAAATAGTGACGACTCTGATTCTGATTTGGAAAGTGTGCAAATATGTGCGTTTGGTGTATAATGCAACAACGAACACATACGGATTAAAAGAGTATTACTGATTACGGCATTGGTATATATATATATATATATATATATATATATTATACACATATCTGAGGCCAGACTGTGTGCCAAACAAATAACGATACAATAATCTTTATGAAAAAGAAAATCGTTCAAAGAT